TGGTGGTTCATGATACTTCCCACAAACCTACTCTTCCCCAGCAGCTGAGCCACCGATCGTCCGCTGATGTGCAACGTTGTTCAGCAGAGTGAGTGAAACAATGTTTAACACTTCAAATCACCGGACCCATTCGCCTTTCCCTTCCCTCGCCTTCCTTCCCATCGTGGCAATTGATTCTAACTGAAAACCAAGTTCGATTTGTGTGTGTGCACGCCTTACGTGCCAATATGCATTGAGCCCCTCGACTCTTGTCAGGTCCCTATGGCCTTGGAATTTTGCACCGGCAGTTGCAAGGTCTTAGCTTTGAGGGATCAAAAGGATAAAGCCAACTCAAAGATACCAAATTCTATTCGGAACACATCGACACTGTAAACGCCATAGTCTCTTATGGAACGTTCCCCAAGAGAAGCCCCTATACAGGGCCCATTAACGCACAACAAACACCAGTAAACATTACAAAACTCTAGCCAAGGGCTCACATTGGCTCACATCAAATGTCAATCACAAAACTTGTTATTGCTCAAGTCAAATCATGACGCAGCACAACAAGGCTCCCGCAACCTTACGCACTGCAGGGTTTCCTTTGCCCACTCAGCTCTTCTGACAAAACCTTTATTGAATCACAAACATGGGGATGTATGGTATGAATCAACTGAAAATCCCTTCTTCGCTTTTTCCCAAGCGGCTTCATATGATCCTTCAACTCTTGCCACTCCGCATGTTTGGGAAGACCTCCCACATAGACGCCCCGCCCGTCGTCGGCAACGGCAAAGCCCGGCGCCGCGGCCATGGTCCGATGGAGCGCGGCGGGGGAGCCCGATGCACGAACTGCGGTCGCAGAGTGTCGTGCCCACCGGGTCTGCAGTTGGTGTTCCAAGACAGGTCCAAAATGGCAGGCACAAAGAAGACAAATTTGTGACACAACTCAGGGAAAAACACATGGAAAACGCTTCACAACGGATGCATGTAAACAACCTCCGGAGGCGCACCTTCTTCAATCTTCCTCGGTCGGCTTCGGCATCACAGGCACGCTTGTGCTCCTTCCCAGGTGCTCTTTGGATCGGCATCGCGCACGAACGGGGCCCCGGTGGTCAGGGAAGGCATTGAGAAGGCCCCGGCGGAGCGCCTTTACGCGGCGCCTTTGCGCGCGCCTCCTTTCGTGCCACAGTGGTGTCCTCCAACTCCTGCCGTTTGCCAAAGTGGTCCGCCAAAGGAGGGGAGACAGTAGGGAAAAATGTGCCGGCTGCCAAGAACACTTGCATAGACAGCAAGGTTAAACATCCCTCGAGTTACAACTCCCCAAATAATGGTCATGGTTCATGTTAAGGATAGGATGGGTCCAACCTGCTTGGTCGCTGATCACTGCCCGGCTCGTTTATGATTCACTTAAAGATACGTAATTAGAGGTATCACGAGGTATCTAAAGGATTTAAGGGCACTCGCGTCGCAAACAAACCCATGACACGGAAAGGAACAACCTCTGACATCCCTCGTCAGATCTATGATCTATGCAAATGACATCTATGCTATATATATATATAGGTATCTGTATGGAGGCGTAGATGGGTCTGATCTTCCGGGGTTGTATATTCAGGTCCTACCAGTACCCGGTCCTACCCAAGTGACTTTGGCTGCACCATATCCCTGGTGTGTAAAACATGCCTTCCGCCATGCCATAGCCGAATGGGAAACAAATGAAACCCGTGTGTTTTGTGTTGCGGGGCCCAATTTTTAGGGTCCAGTGCAGTGGACCTGAAAGGGTACGTAGCAGATCCGGCTCAAGCAAGAAACTCTCTGAGCAGCTCGGTCATGGCTCCCTTTCCCGGGAATCCGCCCGGTTGGCGTGGGATTGGCTGTGAGAAGATACCCAGATCTTTTCAGAGCGATGAATCTTGTCCCCGCATCCTTCTGCAGCTGCTCGATCTTCTTGTCTCTGCTTTGAAGCTGGGCCTTGTTGGAGTCACTAAGACTGACGCTTGTTTGTAAGGAAACCAAGGCAGTGCTTCTCAATAGCATATGAACGAATACTGCTGAGTAATGTTCATTTCAGAAACGTGACTTCTTGAATGCCCAAAAACTGAACTTCCATCAGCGAGGTCGGACAAAAAGGGTGGTTTCCCAAACCGCCCAACACCGAGCCGACCGGTATTCCTTTGCACATCTTTAAACAATTTTTAAACATACTCAAATTCAAAGAAAAACAACTTAACATCCAAACCGTTTCGACGGCAAAAGCTTTGCCCAGCGGCGTGCGCGTTGGCCGCCGCCTGCGAGTTCGCGAATCCGAAGGCAGCACGGAAGAGCTCCGCGACTCGAAAAGACAATCAGCAAAACCATGCAAAACCCAAGACATCAGCGGAACTCATGGAATTGGTTCGGTTTGGGTTGGTGGTTTGGTTTCTGAAAATCACTCTGCAACCAATGGGTTTGGTCGGTTCTCGCCAGGTAGTACAGCGGTTCCCGACGCTCCCAGGCGACAATGGATGTCTCCAGGTGCCTAGACCGACCCGCTTCCAGCCAGCCACCCGCTTCCGGGCACATGAGGATGGAGACTCAGTCATGTCATTATGAAAATTAACTTGGGCAACACCCCTGCCTGTAGCCCTATGGCCACAGTACTGACATGTACGCATGGCTCTGCGCATTGTTTGAACAGTTGTCACTGACACAGTCGGTAGATATTGGGTTCTATACAATAGCAACACCAGTTCCACCTGATGCTTGTCAGAACCTGGATCCTCGCGAAATGACCTCAAATGTGCAGTGGAGAAACGCACATTTTCATCAGCTTCGAAGTCCCAGGTTTTAGGACATCAAACTAGGCTCAGAGATGCTTGGTTGTGGATGTAAAACTGCTGCTTCAACCTCTTCGGGTGGCAGCTTTGGCCGCTTGTGACGCTTGTGATCAATAGTTCGTTGGGTGTGTGAGCACTTCATATCACTTCCGCAAAAAACTAGAACATAGTCATATCTTTTGGAAAGAATGCAATTTCTTGTCCGCCAGAGGTCTGGAATCTGGACAGGACCTATACCTATTGTGATTGCTTTGATTTGTGTATGCTTTGATTACTAGCAGTGAGATACACAATAACTTCAATCTCTCTCTCCCTCTGGCGGGCATGTAATGTCAAGCTCACATAAACTCACCAGCAGGAGCTCCACAAGGGTGGGTGGTTAGTGAGTGGATAATAGGCCACCCCCTACTCTCCAATCACCACCCCTTGGAACCCCGGTCAGAAATACTTCGATGCCAGCTGAACCTCTTCGCCATCTGGTGCATTCACAGCCCCAGGCAGTTGCATTTCCACAGCATTTCGCCCATGCTGCATCCTCACACTCACCGCAGCACCTTTTGGTGACGCAGCGCGCTGTGGCTCACCTGAGCCAAAAGCACTTTGATTGAGGACTCAATACTTCAAGTAATTAAATCTCTTCACCGGAGGTGCACCAAACATCAATGAGCAGCCAAAAAAACATGTACACATCAGCATGGTTGACCCCAAGGGGCACAACATCCAAATTGGGCACATGACCGGCTCTATAGTTCTACACACAATGTCCTTCATATGTGCATCATCTACACAAGGAGGTTGCATCATGCGACTTCTTAAGGTGGACAAATGTGTGCGCTTGCGCAGGCCAGGATCATGCAGGACTGCACGGGCAGGCCATGTATCTTTTTATTAGAAAACATATCATATGCAATATATGCTGCCAATGTCGCCCAAAAAGAAACCAACCTTCTCACGCAAATAAACCCTAACAAACAAAAACTGCCAGCTGCTGCTTAGCAACAGGCCAGGACGGGTGGATTCACTACAAACCCTCCCATCGCTGGTGGCCGGTTCGACCAAAGCTGACGTGTGCGTGGTCTTCTTGTGCCTGTTCTGACTGGTCGGTGTAGCGCGGCCCCTCCTGCTGGTTGTCGAAACAGACGGCCAGCTCCGCAAAGCCCTTCTTGAAATCGGCCCACTCCATCCTGAGCTCTGCAAGCTTCGCTAGGATCTAGATCGATCAATGGTGGGGTGAACATATATGTGAACATGTGGACCTTAAGATCACCCAACATTTATTAGATGTCCCTTAACATTTATAACATAGATAATCCAAACACAGGATTCGCAAAGCCTCCCAGTTATCGCTGGCCCACCGTTCTTGGGGGGAGCACTTTTAAAACACACAAACAATCGATATATTATCTTGTTCCAACCCTTGGTTCCCGTGCTCCCCATTAGTGGCCTCATCCTTGTTTGGCTATAGGCACCAACCAAACCCAGGAGAAACCCAATGGGCCACTCCCAGAAAATCCCTGAGAAATAGCCAGCACATAATTTTTGGAAGCTCCCGAAGGGGGTCCCACAGAATCACTCTATTCCTAGGGTTCCCAATAAATTTGGTATCTCCCATGCCTTGGAACACATGATCCAACAACTACCTAATCTTGGGGACTCCCTATGAAGAGGTGGATCCCTCCTTATATCTGATAAAGACTTAGATAGATAAATAGATAGATATATATACCTATAATATATAGTCTTGGTATGTCTTGGTGATCTCTCCTCATGAAGAGATTTAGTCTTAGTGACCTCTCCTGATTGACCCCCCCAATCAAAGGAACATCCAACCTTCTGACATCCTCCCCAAATAAGAATCCTTCGGGCGGGGGGTTGCTAATTCGGTGTTCGCATTAGCAACCAAAAAGTCCAGGAGGGTTACAAGGACAAGTGAGTAGCCTGACATACTCGGGGTCCTGCAAGCTGAGGGGTTCTTCGTGCGAGTCCGCCACAGGAAGACGCCATCCCGAAAGTCTAGAATCTAGAAAAAAAAACACGGGCTCAGGTTGCTTGGTTGCTTGACCCTTGTTGGATCGTACTGAAGACCTGCATGGCTTAAGAAGACCTTTTCTTCCTCAAAATCACCAAAGAGGAAATCTGCCGAAAGCCGATCCCAGCATCCAAAACACGCCGTTGTCTTTCACACCCACCTTGTGGTCGCATGCTTTCATCACCTCAGGATACTTGTTCCAGGTCTCTCGGTCATCATCGTACCACTTGCCTTTCCACTCATTCCTGGGCATGTGTGACTTGCTCCCCAAGCGCGGTTGAAACGGGCAAGCAAGCAAGAAAACAAGCACTCCCCAACTTCCCCAACTCAACTAGGAAAACTTTTATCAAAGTACAGGTTCGTCATGTGAGGGTTCCTCACGTGAAGCATTTGGAATTTCAAGCTCTTCCCTTGACGCAGCACCTGTACCTCCACTGTCCGCAGCATAGTGTAGGCATGCCCCGCGATGATCCCCTGCCGATGGTTCTTGAGGCAACTAGAACCTGTAACATCAATCCTTGAATCTGAATCCTCTCAAAAATGAGTTCCTCTACAAACATCAGCACCCTGGAACCAACACCACCAACAGCAACCTCGTTGACCACACTGACTGTCGTTGCCTGGTAGTTCCCGCGGCTACCACACGCAATGCTGTAGCCCTCCTTGTCCCAGGACTTCAGGGTAGACCACAAGTCAGCATCACTCAGGTCGGTCTTGTTGTTGCAAAACCTGGTCGGCTCCGCACGCGAACGGAGAGGCGAGTTACGACGGCCGCATCGGCCCGGTCTCGGTCTTGGCTCATCGGATTGTCGCGAAGACTTCGGTTTGGCGGCGGTGGCAGTGGGTTCAGGGGGAAGATTTGCATTGAAACACAGTGCCTCGGGGGGGGGAACTTGTCAAGTTAAAACCGCACTGGATGGATTCAATACATGGCCTATTGTGGCCTATTCTTTGCTTCACCACATGCATGGGCAGGCAAGTTCAACCCGGCACACTTGTGGTATTTCAACTGTTGCCTCTCATGTGCTCCACCAGCAGCAAAATACACAGTGTAACATAAGTCAAGATCATACAGTCAGTTCAAGCCATGTAAAACACGCTTGGTTACTGTCTGGTCCTTTCCGTCACCAAAAATCAGGTGAAATTGCTGTGTGGTGCATCAGGAAGAGCACGCATGTCTAGACCATCATGGGCATTGTTCAAAATTTGGAGAAAACTGGATAGCGTAGCAATGACAGAAAGCCTGAAAATTAACCTTCTCCTGGATGACAGGTGGCTTTGAGGCATCTTGCCCCCAATAGCCCCAGTGAGCGTCGAACCCAGTCTTACGCAGGTAAACACTCGCGTGCGTGACCTGCTTCTCATCTGGGCCGGTTAAAATGCCGTAAGGCTGATGCGTCCCTGCTTCGCTGATGCCAATGTTTATCGCCGGCTTCCCCGTGAGCATCTCCAAAGCGATGCTCTCAAACCCACCATCAATACCTGGCACATAAAATGTGAGCGACAAATTGAAAGCATGTGATGAATATATTGGCAAGAGGGGCCATGAAACTCCATAGACACATCCTTACACCATTCCAACATATTCCAACCTCAAATAAGAAAACAGATAAGACAACATAAAGTAAGAGCGCTAAACACGTTGGTTTTTTTCAAACACCTCACAGTCTCGTCACAATATGTCACGATGAGATACGGTAATAGGCTCCGACCAACTTGGCCACTGCCTTCTCCAAGAGGCAAGGCCAGAACTCATTTTCAGTGCTTTGCTTCGCGAAGCACAGGTTTCCATATTGGCCTGGGCGCTGCCAATACGGCAAGCGGTCATCGATCGTGATGACTTTCCACTCCTCCTCATGCGGGCAATAGAGCCGAATATCATATCCTGAAGTGCACAGAGCTGATTTTGCCCAAGTCAGGTGTGAATTTCTTGGGGGGAAACCTATGAGGCTAGTAGCAAGCAGCATCTGAAAGCTCATCCAAATCAGATCAGTCTCGTCCATCTGCTGAAAGGCTCTTCTGCTTGAAGAGTGATCGCACGCGGTCCGGATACTCCGCAAGTGCAGAGAAGGAGGAGACCAACCAGCAATCACCCAAGTAGCCCTGCTGAATGTCACGCGGTGAGACATGCCTCAGCATGTTCAGGGTCTGGCCTTTCAGCCGGCTCAGCCGCGACAAGAAACACAGTTGGCCGTCTACCCACGCCCATATGCCCCAAAAACCAGACATGCATATTGTTGCTTCGTTCGGCCACACCCGGACCGAAGACCCGGACCGAGCGGTAAGGCGAGCGGTGCATTCGCAGCTGCTTGAAAAGGCATGGCTCACCCGTGGTGCCATAGAGCTTCAATTCGGTGGCCTCCTTGCCGATCATCTGGCGCGGTCGCGCCCAGCCGGGCACCACCAAATGCAGCATCTCCTGGAAAACAGATCGCCACGGGAGAGCGAGAAACACGGATTCAATCGAGACACCATGAGAAACCTGGTGTGATATGATGAGGAACTCGGCCGGCGGGTAAGACCATAGAAACTCATGAAACGTGTCGTTTGAACATGTTTGAACATGGCATAACTTCTGGACGTCCTGACAGCCCACAAATGATCCAAATAAACGAATTGTAGGTGAATGCAAATGCTCGCTTAGGACCTAGAGGTCTGACATCTGTCTCCCCGTTCGCACTCTTGGATACTCTGAGTATCAACACGATGAGCTCCATGTCATGAATCACTACCCTTCCCCCACCTCCAAATACTTGGCCACGTTCGGGTTGGCTGCATCCCCTGTGACCCCGCCAATGGATGGCGCTGCCGCCGGGAACTCGGGGTCACAGAAGAGCTCTGCTCCGGCACTGGCAGCGGCGGGAAAGACCTCCTGTCAGACCGCTGTGCATCGTTTCCATCGCCCATCTTCTTGATGACATCGCCGACGGACCCGAAGGGACAACGGACAATGATCATATGTAACGATATATCTATACCAGGACCCCAAGGGGTGTCTATTGATAGCCCCTTAGAGGTTAAGGGGTGTCCATTAACCACCCCTTGTGGGTCCTAGTACAGCATGTCACTTAGCATGTCTTATTAGAGCAGTCCGCGTATGAAGGATATGTCATGATATGTCTATGCCTGCGAGAGATGTCGCCTGGAATGCGAAAGGCAGTTCATATGCGTGTTGACGTTGCAAGTCCAAGGGCCAGCAGGGGGTTGATGCAGGGTTTCTGATCAAGAGTTATTCTGGCGCAAAAGCAAGCACATTGAAATCTGGATGCTGCCTTGAGCGGCATTTGTGCGCTACATAGACCAACGCAAATCAGTGGCAACAAAATAGTATATAACCCCCCTCATGAATGCATGCCCTGATTAATCATTCAGCTCAAACATGTTGCACCTGTTCTCCCGTAAGCTCCCCAGCCTTCATTTCATGCTGCGCTGGTAGCGCTAAAGCGGGCTCAGGGGGCACGAGCACTCTCTTCAGATGCATGCGATTCGTGATGCTCCCGGGGACTGCCCCCATGGGTACGAAGTCGGCATGGCTGTTGCAACTGCAGGTGTTCCCCATGGCGTTGGCGTGGCTACCACGCGTCCCACGGTTCCAATAGGAGGCAGGCGCAGGCTCGGGCCGAGTCGCAGGCTCGTTTCAAGGGTTGCTGTAGAAAGATCTGGAGAAAGACTTAGTGATGGTCAAACAGAGTCAAACAGTTTCAGTCTTCACGGAGCTTTGAAGATGCATCATTTCGGATCAACTTCGTCTGTTCCCACCATGGACAATCATGACGTGAGCGCGCCACCGCAACCCCGATGGAGGTGGCCAAAGCAACGACCCATGGCGTCGAAGCGAAGCTACGGCACCTTTCTCGCCACCACCACATCGGACGCCCGTGCCTGGCCGGCTGCGAACTGCGAAGTGTCCCTAGATTCTGAATCATTCATCCGAATTCCTTCTAAAAAAGCTTCTTGTTACTACGACCCGTATATGGATCTATATGGCCTGCAACCTAGTATACTTTTTACTAAGAAGCTTCAAAAACATACTAAAAAGCTTCGTGTTACTACATTACAGGTGAAACGATTCCCAGTGAAACGATTCCCAGGTTGTGAACTGATGTGGCAAAGAAATTGGTCACCGAACTGGCGTTCAACGTTAAGTGGCAAACACAGAGAACAAACAGAAACTGACGTTGCTTGCTCATGCCGAATGACGACCGAACAGGCAGCCACCCCGCTTCGCCCAATCTAAACACATCGTCTGTTCATCCGCCCAAACACTTGGCACATGCCATGCACGCGAAAAAATGCTCAGCCTCCGCCTGGGCTCTTCGCTTTTCCTCTTCGAGTAAGCCTTGGTGGGTGGAATTGAGAAGGCTGTTCCTGTTCCTCGGCAAGCCCCCTGGTGGGGATGGAGAGGCCAGCATCTGGGGAAACGTCACCCATAGGATCCAAAACTTGAGTCCAAAATGGAAAGGCAACGGATCTTTGGCCCAGAGCATGTTGAAAAGTCATAGAATTTTCTCAGCAGAGAATTTAAAACATCAAAACCATGTGAACTAACTAGCCCAACAAAGCCCCCCCTTATCCTCGGCCCCTGCCGTCATCTCGTCCCCAAATCTCGGGATCCGATCCATGGGGCGAATGGGTTCATGTATAGAGACCCAGGTGCCATAGGATGCCATACCATACCCAAACAATCCATGTAGTATTGGACTACATTGGAGTGGAGTCGAAATCCTGTAAGGGTCAATGAAGTTAAAATGTAGGATGTCTCAGGCATCCCAAGACTCCTTATACCTCGCCGCAGTCCTCGCCATTTGTTGTCCCACCACAAACTCCCACCATCTCCGCAGTCCTCACCAAGCCACGGCGTCGCAGCTGTTCGGACTCCACCGGCTCCTGGAGATGGACGTCCGTCAGAGGGATCATGTTTCTCCGATTTTTCTCCCGGAAATCATCATGGAAGTGAGCCCGGCACCACTGTTTGGACTACCGACAGCCAAGTGGTCCTCGGACGTCCTCCGAAATGGACTGCCATTTGGAACATGCACTTCCGATTCCAGGGATCATCGCTGCTAAAGACTGATGACTGTTGATGACTGTTGCTGGAGAAAGCCCCCAAGCAATGGTCAAACCTCTCCAGGCCTGGCAGTTTGATTCATCAACAGTCAACACTATCCAACAAGATCCATCCAACTTCCATCATGTCATTGGCCCTGGCATCAGAAGCCCCACCATCTACCTCTGCTTCCCACTCAAGCCAGCCATGTTCTCTTCAGCTTTTCAGATCGATGCAGCCCAGTGCAACTATGGACACAGAATCCTGATGAAAACAAAACACATTGTATAGAACAGTCCCATTGCAGAAGTGAACTGGGATACTAACTGGGATCTTCTGTCTTGTTTTTTTGGGGGCACGGCCCAACACTTTCAGTCAACATGTGTCGAATATTCTTGACATTCCGATTAGAGATGGATTGGTCTTAGGCACAAAGCTGTATAGGCTCACAAGACTTAACAAACTCCCCTGATAGCTGAACCTATACCACCAACAGCCCTGCTTCTTCCAGCCGTGCCTACCATTCACGCGCACCACTCCGAAGAACCGCGTCCGTTCGAGTAGAACCGCTCCGCCAGATTCTTCTCAGGACGAGGTGTCGAACTAGGCGCTCGGTTCTCTTTGGCCTGGACCAAATCGTGACAACTGGCAGCTGAAGGAAGGTCTACTGGCTTCGCACCTGGTGCTCTGTTTGTGACATGCCCACGAGGCAGTTCGGGTGATGGACTACAACCGGAGCTGGACCATATCCACCTAGTGTCATGCCCCACGCGCCATGCGTTGGTAGAGGAACATCCGAAAATCCAAAGCCTGAGTTTCCTCAAGCACAAGTCCCAAGTTCCTGCTGATATGCTAGGGCATCCAATGGCTTGCTGAAGTTCCTTGGAGTTGGATTCAAAGAGTAGTTGGATTGCTGAAACTGTCAAGTTAGCTGTGCAGCTTCGTGGACACCCATATAGAGAAGCCACCTTCAAGCTTCATGCAATTCTATCCTTCCCTGCTACCTCTGCCCCTTCTTCCTCCTTCAAGCACCGTGTTTCCCGGCTGCGGCTGAGAGGGCTCTCCCTTGTGACTTCCTTTTTTCGACCTCAGGAAGTCTGTGGAAGTCTTCTGTGTCCCCAGTGGATGCGGTGGACCAGGCACTACGACCAATTCGAACGCACAAGGACCAGGCACGATAAGAGCTATTCTGTCCTTCGCAAGTGGCTGGATGGTACGTATCCTAATAAATCTCCGCTACTTATTTGGAGCAAAAGAGGGATGATCAAGAGTAGCTATACAGAAACGAGAAGGGTGACTAAACAATTACAGTACTGATGTTTGGTGCTAGCTGGCTTTGAGGTTGTGTCATGTTCTGTCCCTGTACCAGTCGGCGTGCCAAGGTCGGCATTGATTCCAAGGAAGAAGCCCATTGAAAATGGCACAAGCCAAGGACATCCAATGCATGTGCGTTGATTCCAAGGAGCGACCGGAATAAATGTTCGAAAACGGCGGGAGAGTCTCAATGTTCCGATGAAGGCATATTGGAAGCAAGGTGTCCCACACCTGTCAAACACAAAGCAAATGAAACCTTGTGCAGTCCAACCATTTCTGCTCAAACAAGAAACAGGGACGTAAAAACCTCTTGTCAAACGCAAGGAACATCCAGTGACTTGAACAAAACGAGTTGATGGAAACAATCTTTCTTGCACCCTAAAATTGGAGAAGGTAAAGATAGGTAAAGGAACTATAATATAGATTGGTACTTCAATCAGGTAAACATCCAATTCTATTGGATCGGACAATTTAGACTTGTAAAGGAGCATAAGAAGTATCAAATCTAAACATATATATGGTAACATAGCCCACACCTGGTTGACACTAGACCCCAGTGCGTACTGATGGATGCAATGGATACGATTGCCAAGTGTGCTAAGCAAGGAATTACCGTGGTGGGTTGAACGGATGCAAAACTCAGAAGCTAGTCAAGTCTTTCCTGGTGTGATTGTAGCGATTTGATGTGATGTTAGTCACCTGCACACGGGAGTCTGTCCACTCCTTCAGCACAAAGATTGACCCCGTGATGCCAAAACTCTCCATCATGACTCCTACTCACAAGGAAAACACAGCTGATAGGACACAACAACTCAAAGGCAACGCGTTCATCTTTTGTCCACAGATGGCCGAACATGTGGTAGGGCCAAAACCTGGTGTTCAAATACTTCACATATGCTGTCAGGTTCTTGAACCCCTACTACTACCACTTACGGGGGTTCTTCTACTCATTTCATCCAGAAAAGGATGGACACCACCTTGAAGGGGCCAATCCACTCCTCTTCAGAGGGGGCAAAACCTGTTCTACACCTTCCAAGTTGGGTCATGAGATGTCATGAGTGCTGGGAGTTGGCATCTCTGCATCAGTTTCGGCCGCATATGGCCGCATAGGGCCACCGTGGACGCATCTTTCTCATGGACTGAGGTGATCAGGTGGGTGGCCCGACGGATTTCTTCTCACTAAGCTCATCGAAGACATAGAAGCCCGCGCCGTTCTCTGAGCATTCCTGTTGGGACTTCTGTCGCTGTGGTCCAACTAGGAACATCGCAGTTGAGAACGCTGGGTTTGTATATATATGATATAAATATATATTGTACAAATATTGTCTATATATGTGTGTACATATATATATATAGTATAAGTAAAAAACAGTGCGTTCCTGGTCCAGCTCGATGCGTTCAGCATGTGAACTGTATCGAACTGTACTGTATTGGAGGGGGCTATTTAAAAGCAAAGCAAATGTTCGTGGGGTGTTGTCCATGGTTGTCCTCCGCATGAACTTAAACACAGGGGATGATGCATGGCTGGATCAGTGACCCTTTTACGTGTTCACTCATTGCAGGGGTCAATTTCGTCAATTTCAAAAAGGAAACACTAGCAAAATCCCCCTCACCGGTTTCAATGCGTACCTTTTGTTTACCCAGCAAGATGGGATCTCCTCTTACATGGATGGCTCAAAGGGACCATCTACGAGGCAGCCAGTGACAGCCGGAACTACACTACACATTGAGCTGAACCTAAAGCTGTCGCATGGTCCAGCCCATCTGCCGTGTCTCACCTCCAGCTATATAGTTGCCCATAGCGACCTCCAATGAGCCTTCCTTCCACAAACTCCATCTTTAGCCCCATGACATCTGCTTGCTCGAACCTCAAACCACATGCCCCAAACACATGCATCAGGTCAGCCAAAAATCCGCCTGCACCAATCCATCTGCCCCGTCCTCCCCCAGAAATCCGACTCGCGCTCCAAGCCAACGTCCCGCACCCGTTCCACAAAGCGCTCGCCATTGGCGATCGAGACCGCGTGCTCATCCATGGTCGTGGGTATCTCGTAGGACCTGGGACGTCCGGAGTGCAACAGCGGGTCGGTCCGGAGTGCTTCACCCTTCACCTGCCGCACAGCAGTCGGTGGGAAAAGGCCGTGGACATCGGCCCTGGGCTTTTGGCCGTTGCCGGCTGGCAGTCCTAAGATACTGGGCTTACTTTTACTGGGAAGGCATCCATTCCCGCCGACAAAAGGAGGCGACAGTCTTCTTCCAAATGTTCTTCATTCTGTTGGCCGTTTGCTCACCAACTATCTGATCAAACCACACGAGCCCAAATCAGAAGCTTTGAGCCGGGCCCAGGCCCCACTGAAGACATCTCCTCCTCCTTGCCGAATCTTGCCGAGGACATCCTGGGCATGTGCCCCCCGGTCTTTTGGGACGGTGCCTCGTGTGCGCCGTGTTGAGTACACCCAGTGTGCCATAGTGTACCTTCCCACATAAACCACAAACGTCCAAATAAAGGAACTGATTCAGGGGTGCTGCAGACAGCACGTCCACAAAAGAATCACACAGAGACAGCGGTGACTACAAGACAGGCAACGTGAACACTACATGCAAAAAAAAAGCTTGGAATGTGCAAAAAAAGTAGAACATAGTAGAACTGTTCACAGCTGAGGAAGTGTTCTACCAGACTTCTTGTCTTCTGACTTCTCATGTCTTCTCCAACTTCTGGCTCTTGCAGCTGCTCAAAGTGTCTCATTGGCCTGGACCACGTGGACATCAGCGGAGCGTCGGCCTGCCCGCTGAAGCGCGCTCGCTGAACCAGCACGGCCAAGGACCGGGTGAGACCGACGAACGTCACCGGCGTGAGTTCCCTTACTAACTGACAAATGCAAAGTAGATTGGGTCATCAACCATAAACCATCAACCATAAACCGTAAACCTGCTCTTTGTTATGTGCTGTTAAACTAAGGGGTCATGTTCCATCTCTGCCTATGTTCCGACTGGACTCATCAGAGTGTCGGCTGAATAGGGCTGGTCTTTGGCAGCCGGACGAGCAATGATGCCCCAGGGTGTCAAACTTTCCAACTGGGAGGTCACCGGGAGGTCTCCCTATTTTATTACACACCCTGGTTGAGAACCTGCAACTACTTGGCTCCAAGCTTCTCCACCCCCAAACCACCAGCTCAGCTAGGGACATGAGAGCAAGGTTCAGGAATCCCCTTTCACAAGATGCTGGGTTCCTTTATGTCTCTTTGTATGATCAGGTCATCAAAAAACTGCCAATATCTTCGAATACGTCTTGGAACTCATCATGAGGTGTGAATCTGACTGAATACACTCCAACAAAGGTTTGAATCTAACCTATGGGACCCCAACTGAAAGACTCAATCTCCAGACCCCTCGCCCTCGCCCGCTTGGTCGCACCTCGCCCGCACCCGGGGAAGCGCGGCTGGAGCCACACGGCGGTTCGGGAGATGATTTGAAGGGCGGACGACAACGGTGCTTCCATGGTGTTTCCAAAGGGTTCCGTGGATTTTGCAAGCACCTTTTTTCTTGAAAGGGTATATAACCCTGAAGTTGATTAAGGTTTCATTCCTGCTGCAAGCAAGACAATCTAGTCCCCAGCTAGTCCAAGTGAATTGTTTGTTTGAAGAAAGGCGTCGGGCAATGCCAATGTCCTCCAAGAGTATGGGCCATTGATTTCTATCATGGCCAACCGAATCCTCAATCGAACAAATCCGCCCTGACTGCGCTGGAACACGTTCCGAGAGCATCTCTCCTGTCTGCTCATGTCTGCCCAGCTCACCCGACATTGCTCCGATTTTGGGGCCAACCCATCGAAGCAGAGAGGTGGTGCACCACCCGTCCACTTCCGGAGCTTGATTGATGTCTGTCGTCAGTCCCAAGAAGACCGAGCAAAGAGTTCGTTACGTCCATCGCAGCGCAAAGAGTTGGTTGTAGATATGTAATGATCACCGACACATGTCCAGATATGTCCAGCACAAGATCGTGTTGAGGATGGTCTCTGGATATTCCGATCTTCGATCCAGCTCCGGATTGGAGGGTTGTGTCCGCAAAACGTCCTCGAGCTCTTAGAACTTGAGAAGTGTTGAAGCTAAGTTAAAACGACCGGGCTGTAAAAGGTGGGCGCATCTCACAGAACTGTGATGCGCAGTGCGGCTACGAGGCTGACGGGGGGCCTTATATGGATGAGACCAGCCCCCAGAGTGGAAGATAGACAGGGCCCCCACTAAAGTAGTCACTAGAAATGGGTGGGGCACTGCCTAGCTGCCAAGTATCTGCTCCTGAAACTGGTTCCTAAGTCCAAAGGCAGTCTTGCCGCAATATATATCTGCACTGGCCCAAGGCACAGCATCAAGTATAAACTCTTGTTCGAAAACACTAGGTGGTCGGCCAAAACTGTTGGTCAAATGTTTAGGGCATACAAGTTCTCTTCCCATTGGTGAGGGTCCCCGAACACACCTTGACAAGTGAATTTGAACCCATTATTGCAGGGGACATGACGATTGCTCAATGAATATGAGGGACTTGCAGATGATAGGGAGGATCAACAAAAACAAAAACAACGCGTCTGAACAGTTCACAGCTCGTGCAGCTTGAAGGCTCAGCCCCGAAGCCGGGAGGCTCAAGAGCTTCAGGTCAGGTATGCGAGCAGCCGCCTGAACTCAGCGTGGACTCATCAGGGAGAGTGGATGTCATTGGTTGGAAAATCTTGTAAAGAAGGAGGGGTGTCCATGACTTATAAAGATCATGGATCATAGAAAACAAGGGGTGTCCATGACTTTCCATGTCTTTCATCATCGTTCATCTATTCTGAGGTGATATGATGTCATATGCGGCTCAGTACAGCTTGTGGTCACAAAATGTGACAAACCACTGGTAGCTACAGTTGACCAGGCCTTGCGCAGCCCAGGCCACGGAGGCTTCGGGGTCGGATTCGCCACCTGGCTTAGCTTGGAATGGATTAAAGGAAGAGGACGTCCATCGTCAACGGCGTGCTACTGCACCTGTATTTGCACCCTAGCAAGCAAGCCTAAAGTCCTCGCACCTTGCCATCTGCAAGCAGGTGGGTCAGCTGATGGCACATCCTGGCCGTGGCCGCAGGAAACAGTTTATCGAATCATGTCCAAGACCTGGAGGTTCAGAAATAACGATCATATAAAACATGCAACCCAATCAAAATACTAAATCACTACGACGTACAGTAGAATCATGTCACTTCCACGAAAGAACTGTCAAGAAGCCCTCAAGGGGCGATCAAACACCCTGCTGGTTTAAAAAGATATCTCGCTCCCCATGAAAACACAATTAAAAGAGTGCTCTCATTTTTCAAAAGTGCCAATCTGTGTCCCTTTGCTACCTGCCCCCTTGCAGGCGTGGTGAGCCTTGGATTTTTGCACCTCCAGATTAGCCCGATCTTCTGCGATGAAACCATGCACAAACTGGCTGACTTGCGCTTAGTAAGGAACAAGGGAATGAGTCCTAAGGTATCCCTTGTGGGGGGATCATTCCCTCATTCCCTACGAGTCGCACCAGTCAGCTGGAGGCCTCCTCTTGAACAGCAAATCGTTTCACATGCTCGGAGCGTGAGGTACGGAGGTACGTGAGCGTCTCCAGAGCCGAGCAAGGGGGCCGAGCATCCGCAGTGCGTCTAGCTGGCTCACTGGGAACCCCCAAACCACACTGGGTTCTAAAGGAAAATGGTCTTCCACCGGTAAATTCCATGTTACTTGATGGGATGCTCCGAGCTGAGGCATAAGCAATAGACTAAGCACCAAGTATGAGTGCCCCTATCCCATCAACATGTCTTGTATGATTCTGGTTCCTGAATATGGCCAGTGGACACCACCTGAACCCCCTGGATCTTTAAATCACTTTCACTTTACTAATTAGACTTTAGTCCCTACATCCCTTTCCCATGATGTTAGACGAACAAGCTGCAACATTCAAAGGTCACTTTCAAGAATGGTTGGGGGGGCTACAAAGGAGCCACCCCAAACTTGCCCCAAGCTGGAGGTCTTTGCTCGCAACATGGTCAAACGGTCCAACCAGAAGTCAAGCAGCACATCTTCCTGGCTGCTGGAACCTAGGATCCGTGAAACAGATCCCCTCGGAACGCCACAAATTTCAGTGCATATCTACACTCCCCAGAATAATCATCGAAACAGGAAAAAAGACACCGGTTGGTCGAGGAAAATGGTCATCCAATTGGCCATATTTTCCACTTTCCGTCTCTTCCGGGAAGTGCATGGCTGCTTCATTCAACCTGAGCATCATCATTCAACGCGCGGAGCCCGCGCAAGTGTATGGCCTGTTTGGGCAGAGAAATGCGCGGAGACGTCTGCAATCCATCCCAAACAAAAACATTGACAAAACCTCGGAGTGAAAAAGAAAGAGAGAGAATGAGTTGAGTGAGTGAGTGAGTGAGTGAGTGAGTGAGTGAGTGAGTGAGT